GACCTGAGTAGAGCCCAGACTGCTGAAATTAGGAGTCGGAAGGCGAATGCAACTGTGCTGAGTAGGAATGAGGAAAGATGTGGACAGATCAAGGACGGGTGTAAAACGTCAAATTGTCCACGAGCACAGAAGCATATGGATAGTGGAGTTAAGTTGTGGGAGATGTCGAGAGTTGACGTGTTTCACAGACAACGTGGAGGAGAGATAATGAGGAAGAGTAATAGCCGAGAAAATGAAAGGAGAAGAGACAGTATGTGTGGAGAGATGCTTACGAGCACTCTGGGAGAGGCAAGGTGACGCGTACGGTCGAATGCTGTTGGATGTAGTACAGCGCTCGAAGAAACTTTTAGGGAACGAAGAAGAGTTGAAGGAGAAGAAAGGGAGTTGTATAAAGATGAAAAGTGTGGGAAGAGGAAGATGATACAATCATGGAGGAATAGAAGAAAGCTGAGGACTCGATGGAAGTCAAAAAGGATGTCGCGGATAAATGAAGAGACGAAAGGGAGAATCGTCGGTGAAGACGAGGAAGTGAAGTATGATGACAGGAGACGAAAGTATAATGACAGTAGATGGAAGTGTGAAGACGACAGAGGAGGTACAGACAGTAGATGTCTGACTCTGGATGTGAAGAGAGGAAGACGAGGAAACGGAGGGTGGAAACAATAAGTAGAGTGGACCGATAGAGTGCAGGCGTCCAAGGAGGACAGCCTAGCCAAGAGATGCCAGAGAAGTCAAATCGTTTGTGAGAAGATCATGTTTCGGGCGAGTTGTGAGCCAGATGTTGCAAGGAGCAACGAACTAATTGTAGACTCCTAAGAGAGTATATCGGGTGAAGAACGAGACAGTGTGGTGGCGGATGTATTATCCCGAGCTTTGCCACTGGAATAACTCTCAAAAATAAGGGGAGGGGAGTGTTATGATCTCAGCCTACAGGAGAAACGAGTATCCCTCCTTGAGAGTTATTCAGCAAGCCTGACCTAACTAGAAGGTCTAGCAAATATTGAGGTGATAACCCATATGTAAAAGAGTTGCTTGGATATATATAACAATTTAAGATTATGGGCAATGAAGAAGAAAACAGATAAATGACTGGCTAGGAGATGTGGAAATTTTGCTGGAGGCGTGAGGCTCGCTTCCGGAGGACCTTGACCTCACTTGAGTGCCAGACATCGCAGGGGGAAGCCGCGCTCCGTTTGAGCTCCCGTCAGAAGGGAACCCCTAGTGATATATCTCTAAGAGAAGAGAAGTGTGCAGACATGCCAGCTGTGGAATTGAGCTGAGAACGTTGTGGTCTCAAGTCTTGGACGGCGAGGAGAGTTTAATAAGCTGCTCAGAGGCATTTTCGTGGGCTGTGTGGAGCGCCCTGACCAGACGCCGTCAGAGGGAAAGCGCCCTCGACCTTATAATCTGTGGTAAGCACGTTATACGCCAGTTCATAGTGATTGCTTGTAGTTGGTCGTGTGCCCAGCGACAGTAGCGATGTTTATTTATAAGTTAGACATGTTTTAATAAGGCAGAAGGCCTGAAATAAGAGAGTGGAGAGGGAGGAACACAGAGCGGCGTCCGTCCCCTCTGAGCGCTGGCGGGCGACTGAGGGAGCCTGGCTCCTGACGGCGAAGGACCCTCCCAGCGTGAGTGAGGACCGCCGCCGGGCGAGGTGGAGTATGGACCCGCCCAAAACGGGGGAGTCCACTCTCACTGTATGTAGAGGACATCTAGAGGTTGGAGACAAACATATTGTGTGATTATTTTTGTTTATGTGTTAAAGGAGAAACAATTCTATTGGAGTGTCGATGGGTTGCAGGTTTGTCTTTGGGGAAGAAGTTGCTGAGAACTTCGAAGCCAGCATAGATGAAGTAATTGACGAGACTCCAAGGTAGTGAAGCAGAGGACCTCGAGCTGTGAGGAGAAGCAGTGAAGAGGAGTGTCACGTGCTTCTGTAGAGGTGGTGTAGCAGCCAAGAGAGCTGTGGAGGAACCTAGCAGAAGGGTGAAGCACCGTAGTTGCTCAAGGAAACTTCATGATAGCAGCCTGGAGGAGCTGCAGAGGATCCTGGTAGTGAAGCCCGGAAGAACCTAAGGATATTAGGGTAGTGAACTTCCAGAGGTGGAAGGGGAAGTTCTGGTGGATTACTTGTAGGGAGTTGATAGTGTTTGGTTGTCATTAGCGTGCAAGACGCAGTGAGAGGTGAGTGACTGTTTGCATTCTTATGTCAAGGAGTGTTTTAAACTGAAGTTTAGAGTTACAGTCGTAGGCTGGATTACCTACAGATGTATGCGTTCCAGGACTGACAGTGATCGATTGATCATTGTTGTGTATCAATGAACATTTATACTGATATATGTTATTGCATTCAAATGCTGATTTTCTATATATATATTATCTTGCTGATGGTGCAACAGTGTATGTAGACTTGATCAACTTGAGGTGGTTGATAGTATCAGGTGGTGAACCAGGAGATAGGATACCACTTGATAAGCTGATAATAGAGTTCTGATGGTGTTGGAGTGCAACCTGATTGTAATATTATAGAGTATAGGATTCATTATTGTTATATGTGTGTATGTATCGTGTATGTGCTTTGTCCAGTAAATGTATCCCAATTTGCTGGTGTTTGCCCTTGTCCTAGTGAGGCTTCCCATGAAATAGTACAGAAGAAGAGAGAGAGAGAGAAAGAACCAGGAACCACTCCTGTGGGCAGGGTAGGAGGTAATACTAGTAAGTCATAGGGGATTGAGGAGATCATATCTCATAAGGAGAGAGTGGGGAGTCACAACGGCTCGAGTGGGTGTGTGCACGTGACAACGAGGCTAAGTGTTGGAGCCGCATCCCCTAAACGTGTGACGTTGAGCCCCTCTCCAAGAGCCAGAAGTGCCAAGGGTGATCTCCTAGTATAAACACTCTACCGAGTTGTGGGTTGGGTTGTCCGTAGAGAAGGATCAACGACGACAACACAACCAACCCACGACTATAATACCTACCTGCCTGGCGCGAGATTGTTGCTCGACTGTCCACCCTAAGTGTTTACTTAGCCTAAGGTCTTGTGTTTACCAGAGTGGTGGGAATGCCTCCAGCTGCTCCTGTTGTTGCAGCAGTGGTTCTGCTCCTGGAGTTGCAGTGGTGGTTCTGCTCCTGGAGTTGCAGTGGTGGTTCTGCTCCTGGTGTTGCATGGCTGTTGCCGTGCCACTCTCAAATAACGTAACGTAGCATCCATTATGGTGCATTAGTCAGTAAGTTTGTTGAATAAATATGATCTTGTTTGTAAACGTGATTTTCCGTCATTTTCCTTGATTTCTGCCTTGTTATTTCGCTCTGCTTTATTTTAATTTTTTGCTTCTTCAAATGCATTAGGTTGCCTCAGAGAGCCTGACGGCTGAGTGGATACAGCTCGGAATTCGTAGTCTTAAGGTTCCGGGTTCAATCCCCGGCGGAGGCGGTAACAAATGAGCAAAGTTTCTTTCACCCTGATGCACCTGTTCACCTAGCAGTAAATAGGTACCATGAAGTTAAACGGCTGCTTCCTGGGGGGGGGGGTGTAACAAAAAGGAAGCATGGTCGTGGACTGGGCCGCGGGGACGCTAAACCCCAAAATCATCTCAAGATAACCTCAAGGGATCGAGCCCATTTACCTGAATCCTTAAGCTTTGTATGAGGACTCATTAATTAAACTCTAAATTGTCTTTATTCAGTAGAGGAACTAGCGATCCAGTGACTGGGAGATCCATGTATGCTCGTAGAGGCGAAGGTTATCCAGAGTCTTGCCTTTGGTGTGCTCACCTGAGGCCATGACAGTGCCATCCCCACACCCGTCACCTCACTTCCCTCTCCAACTGACCTTATAGTGGACCGGGGCGTGTGCTCTTCCTTGTGGGGTTTGTTGTTATGGCTCAGCTTGGTGACCTCTTGCAGTGTGGCCAACACCAGTCTTGGCGCTGTTATTTATGTATTTATTTATTTATATACAAGAAGGTATATTGGGTTGTGAGAGTACATAACATTGATGTTCTTACATTCATACAAAGATACTAACACGCATGCTATTGCAGGTTGTTGCAGCGTGAAAGGACGATTGACAAACGAATCTCAACACATATAAAATAGGACAAAAGAAAACTCATACTTAGACACGAGACAGCCGAGCTAAGAGGGCTGACTGATGTAAATAATATCCCCTCACGAGACAGCCGAGTTAAGAGGACAGATTGATGTAAATAATGTCCCCTCACGAGACAGCCGAGCTAAGAGGACAGACTGATGTAAATAATATCCCCTCACGAGACAGCCGAGCTAAGAGGACACAGACTGATGAAAATAATGTCCCCTCACGAGACAGCCCAGCTAAGAGGACTGACTGATGTAAATAATGTCCCTTCACGAGACAGCCGAGCTAAGAGGACAGACTGATGTAAATAATGTCCCCTCACGAGACAGCCGAGCTAAGAGGACTGACTGATGTAAATAATGTCACCTGCACGAGACAGCCGCGCTAAGAGGACTGACTGATGTAAATAATATCACCTGGTGACGCTAAAAGTGAATGGAATGTTTTGCAGACATATGCACTATTTAAGAATGGATTAGTATATACAGACTTTAGTAGATGATTTAATTTAATTTAATTTGAACAAATGAGATGCCAAATCATTGAAGCTAGACAAAAAGATGTATCACAATAATATCAGAAGCAATGTTTTTAGTTAATGCAACAAATGGAATAAAGGTGTGGAAGTAATAGAGACTAAGTCCCTCCACTGTCTCTAAAGCTAATGTGGCTTAAAACAGAAGGGTTTGATTCCTTGTCCACATGTGGTATGAAAGACAACATGTGGTACGAACGACTACATGTGGTACGAAAGACCACATGTGGTACAAAAGACCACATGTTGTACGAAAGACCACATGTGGTACGAAAGACCCAGCTGCTGATGCTCGGCTGTGAGAACTCTGTTAAGTAAAAACACCTAGTTAAATTCAGACAAACATTGAGAGATAATGCTCACGGCAGTGTAGTCTGCCATGAGGGTCCCAGTGTTGAAGCCAACAACTGCAGATATAGGGATGAGCAGCAGCTGGTATGGATGGCGTAAGTGGTTGAATGTGGCTACCAGAAGCTGCAAGCTGCTCTTGCTTCTGCTGCGACTCTCGTCAATGTTAATGAATCTGTCAAGTAAAAGAAAATGATATGATATCATCCACAATCTTCCAGAATTAGTAAATCTCAGAAATATCTACAGTATCTTGAAATCAGCAATGAGAGATTAGTAAACTAATATTCATATAGAGGACACATTCGAAAATCAGTCACTGATTCCTCACTCTTTTTACCTGCTGAGGGGATCGACGAAGATGACGATGATGACTGGGGCGAGGAGAGAGGCGATCAGGAAGATGGTGGCCAAGATATATAAATTAGAGAGGACCGAACCTTCACTCCCGCCGGAGTAGCTGCTGTTGGAGAGGCCAACACTCTCTGCATTACAGGAGTTGTAACCGCAGTGGAGCGCCTTCTCCGTCACATTGGCGTCCTTCACTTCCACCGACAACACTGCCGCAAGTTAATGGTAATATTTATTCAAACATCGATTAAGAAGATTCATAGGAAAGAGTGATTCTTGTAGCAAAGCGAACATGTGAGATAAAGATGCAAGAGACAGAGATAACGTGCAAGATAAAGAGATAGTGAGGCAGGTAGCAACTGAGACGAAAATGCCAGTGGGAAAGTTGATATGTGAGATAAAAATGCTTGTGAGAAAGAAAACATCTCAGATGAAGTTCCTAACTGTTACAGGAAAGGAAGGGCAGAGCCACGTTGAGCTCTGGCGGTGACACTCCGTCACTACTCACTTTATTCTTGGTTCGTTACTCAATTTACCTCTTGATAAAGTCGGTGCTTACCCCCTGCGAACACCAGCCCCAAAAAACATAGGGACCTGGCAGGACCTTTGGGGACTCACTACGCAACTTTCTGTCCCCAAGAGAACAGGAGATAGAGCGGCAGGTGTCAAAGAGAGGCAAGTGATAATGCTGAGTGAGTTCTATCTGCAAATAGAACCACGGATACCTGGTTATCCAGGTACTCCTGTGGCCATTGGGGTTCTCACCTGCGCACAATGCGGGGGGGGGGGGGAAATCGCTACAATTCCCTGCTCTAGTTCTCTTGAACCTGAGGCTACCTTCCATGATTTAATTAATTATATATATTCCGGTACTCAGTGGTTAATACCCGACTGTCAGGCTTCCAAACAATGTGCATATATATATATATATATATATATATATATATATATATATATATATATATATATATATATATATATATATATATATATATATATATATATATATATATATATATATATATATATATATATATATATATATATATATATATATATATATATATATATGCAAATATATATATATATATATATATATATATATATGCAAATATATATATAATATATATATATATATATATATATGCAAATATATATATAATATATATATATATATATATATATATATATATATATATATATATATATATATATATATATATATATATATATATATATATATGCAAATATATATATATATATATATATATATATATATATATATATATATATATATATATATATATATATATATATATATAGTATATTTTGATAGCAGTCTTTCCTGTAGACATATATTATTAAATATGACCGAAAAAGTAAGATTAATAATTCTAACACGAATTTTCTCAATCTTTCGTACATTTCTTTTCACTGTTGGAGGTAAATCAAAAATCAATTCTCCAAAATTCATTTTTATTTCTAGTCTGACGCGACACGAGCGCGTTTCGTAAAACTTATTACATTTTCAAAGACTTTAGTTCACAAATACACAACTGAATAGAACTTACGCATCTCCGATTTTATATCTACATTTGAGTGAGGTGGAAGGGGTGATGTGGCATTAACACAAGACAGAACAAGATGTGGCATTAATAGGGTATAAATTTCATCAACACAAGACAGAACAAAAGGTGGTATTAATAGGGTATTAATTTCATCAACACAAGACAGAACACGAAACAATGGATATTGAATAGAAGTGTTTGTAGAAAGCCTATTGGTCCATATTTCTTGATGCTTCTATATTGGAGCGGAGTCTTGAGGTGGGTAGAATATAGTTGTACAATAATTGGCTGTTGATTGCTGGTGTTGACTTCTTGATGTGTAGTGCCTCGCAAACGTCAAGCCGCCTGCTATCACTGTATCTATCGATGATTTCTGTGTTGTTTACTAGGATTTCTCTGGCGATGGTTTGGTTGTGGGAAGAGATTATATGTTCCTTAATGGAGCCCTGTTGCTTATGCATCGTTAAACGCCTAGAAAGAGATGTTGTTGTCTTGCCTATATACTGGGTTTTTTGGAGCTTACAGTCCCCAAGAGGGCATTTGAAGGCATAGACGACGTTAGTCTCTTTTAAAGCGTTCTGTTTTGTGTCTGGAGAGTTTCTCATGAGTAGGCTGGCCGTTTTTCTGGTTTTATAGTAAATCGTCAGTTGTATCCTCTGATTTTTGTCTGTAGGGATAACGTTTCTATTAACAATATCTTTCAGTACCCTTTCCTCCGTTTTATGAGCTGTGGAAAAGAAGTTCCTGTAAAATAGTCTAATAGGGGGTATAGGTGTTGTGTTAGTTGTCTCTTCAGAGGATGCATGGCTTTTCACTTTCCTTCTTATGATGTCTTCGACGAAACCATTGGAGAAGCCGTTATTGACTAGGACCTGCCTTACCCTACAGAGTTCTTCGTCGACTTGCTTCCATTCTGAGCTGTGGCTGAGAGCACGGTCGACATATGCGTTAACAACACTCCTCTTGTACCTGTCTGGGCAGTCGCTGTTGGCATTTAGGCACATTCCTATGTTTGTTTCCTTAGTGTAGACTGCAGTGTGGAAACCTCCGCCCTTTTCTATGACTGTTACATCTACAAAGGGCAGCTTCCCATCCTTTTCCATCTCGTAAGTGAAACGCAGCACAGAACTCTGCTCAAATGCCTCCTTCAGCTCCTGCAGATGTCTGACATCAGGTACCTGTGTAAAAATGTCGTCAACATACCTGCAGTATATGGCCGATTTCAAATTCATAAAAATGAATTTTGGAGAATTGATTTTTGATTTACCTCCAACAGTGAAAAGAAATGTACGAAAGATTGAGAAAATTCGTGTTAGAATTATTAATCTTACTTTTTCGGTCATATTTAATATATATATATATATATATATATATATATATATATATATATATATATATATATATATATATATATATATATATATATATATATATATATATATACATATACATATATATATATATATATATATATATATATATATATATATATATATATATATATATATATATATATATATATATATATATATATATATAGATATATAGATATTGGTGTATACTGGCAGCAGGTTTTCTTTCAAACATGTTTCATTGAATATCACCGCATATTCTGTATTTATTATTTTCTGGTTTAGGGCTTCTATCCCTCTAACTATTTTCTTAGCATCAGGGCTTAATTGGAATAGGAGTTCTCCAAAACTCATTTTCGTACTTTTAAGGTGAAGAAAAGAAGTGATTTACTATAGAGTGTATTACACTTATTTGTATAATTTGCACGACGTTTCGAACCTCCATGGTTCATTCTCAAGTGAACAGATCTTACAATACTAGTTGATTTTATACCCGCATTAGGTCAGGTGATAATACAATGAAGGTGAAAAACATGGGGGGATACATAAGGGATAAACATAGGGGCTGCAGAAGGCTTATTGGCCCATACGAGGCATCTCCTATCTAAACACAAAGATTAATCCAGTGTAATTGGCCTGTTATGTTGGACATTGTCTTCTGTGTTGGCATCGATATGTTCTTGTCTTGTCCTTACTCTCATGGTGGGTAGAGTAAATAGTTCCGTGATTTGGGTGTTCATGGTAGGTCGCTCTATTCTTATGTGAATTGCCTCATGAATTTGTAATCTTCTTGAATCTTGGGTTTTGTCTATTATGCAAGTATTCTTGTTCAACATTTCTCTTGTTAGAGTAATGTCATGGGCTTGTCTCATGTGATTCCTAGGGGCACCAGATTGAAGATGGCATGTCAAACGCCTCGTCAGCTTGGTCGACGTCATAACTATGTACTTACATTGAAGGTTACATCCTTCGTGGGGGCAAGTGTACATGTATACAACGCTTGACTGCTGTAGAGGGTTCTCCGTCGGCTTCGGGCTGTTTTTGATAAGGAGTTCGGAAGTCTTCTTGGTTTTGTAGAATATTATCAGGTTTATGTTTTGGTTAGGAGTAGTGCTTTTTACTCCTTTACGGATTATTTCTTTCATTATTCTTTCCTCTTTTATATGTTCACTGTGCATGGTTGATTTGTAATATAATTTTATTGGGGGTGTTGTGGTTTCTGTTCTAGGTTCTGAATTATACCAACGGTCCAAGTGTCTTCTTATAGCAGCGTTTATTTCCGCGTTGCTATATCCGTTGTTCACCAATACCTGAGTTACTCTTTCAAACTCTCTACTCACGTTGCTCCATTCAGAGCAGTGGGTAAGCGCTCGACGAATATAAGCATTGAGAACACTGGCTTTGTATCTTTGGGGGCACTCACTTCTACCGTTCAGGCATAATCCTATGTTGGTGGGCTTGGTATATACGTTGGTGCTTAAAGAGGTTCCTGTTTTTGTTATTAGTACATCCAAGAATGGCAGACTGTTATTTTCACTATTTTCATGTGTAAATTGGAGTACTGACTCTCTCTCTTGGTGTCTTTTTAGGTCAATTAGTTCATCTGAGTCTTTTACTATTACGAATATGTCATCTACATAACGGCAGTATACAGTTGGTTTTTGTCTGCTACTGAAGACCCAATCTTCGATGGTTCTCATATAAAAATTAGCAAATAAAACTCCTAAGGGGGAGCCCATTGCTACTCCGTCTATTTGTAAATACATGTCTCCTTGTGGACTGATGAAAGGGGCTTCCTTTGTACATGCTCGAGAAGACTTTTCAAGTGTGGCTCAGGTATGTCTAATTTGGGGGTGCTCTCGTCTCTGTATACTCTGTCCAGTATCATTCCTATGGTTGTGTCGACTGGGACGTTGGTAAAAAGGGATTCAACGTCCAGGGAAGCGATGATTCCATCGGGCTGGGTAGATTTGATCAATTCTAGGAAATCTGCTGATGATTGTAGACTAAACTTACTTGGAGTGTATGGAGTTAGGAGTTCACATGAGAAAAGCCCATGACATTACTCTAACAAGAGAAATGTTGAACAAGAATACTTGCATAATAGACAAAAACCCAAGATTCAAGAAGATTACAAATTCTTGAGGCAATTCACATAAGAATAGAGCGACCTACCATGAACACCCAAATCACGGAACTATTTACTCTACCCACCATGAGAGTAAGGACAAGACAAGAACATATCGATGCCAACACAGAAGACAATGTCCAACATAACAGGCCAATTAC